AAAGTAGTTTGGGCTTATAAAAAAATAATTTTTGCCCAAAGTATTTGGGCAATTTCAGCTACTAATAGAAGCAGTTTGGCCAGAAACCTTAGTCCCAATTAAGGTTGCTTGCCAAAACTCCTCCAGAAATCAATCAAGTATATATTTGACAACCACCAGATTATCAAAATATGATAACCTTATGGAAAATAGGCATTCATGGTGCATGTTATATATTTAAGAATTTTATCAAAACTCATGCATAGCTTTTGATATCATGAGCTGAATAAAAGATTAAAAAAGAAATAGCCATGGGAAATGTCCAATCAAAAGCATTGCTACATTCAAAAAGACAAAAAATGTATTAGTAGTCAACTTATCATCATCATTTAAACCAGCAGCAGAATCATCATCAATGTCTGAATCAGCAGAAATGGTAATTACTATAATAGAAAAATCTATATAGTTGGACATTTGATATAATATTTAATTGAAATTTCTAAATTTAAAGCTTCCAAATAAATTATGTTTTAAAAAATTTATTTTCTTGCAATTAGTAATCTGAGATTCATTTAAAAATAATAATTAATATTATTAATTACTATATATATATTTGAATAAATTATAAAAATCACTTTTTTTTACAACTCACTTAAATAAAAATGATTTTTAATTCAATGATTACTATCTTTGTTGTTGTTGTGTTTATTATTGTTGTTGTTATTATCATGATTATTGTGTTGAATACGATTTGTAAGTGTTTCATAACCAAGATAAATTATAAAAGCTCCAATGCCCCAAGATAGACCTGGCCAAGAAAGTCTTGCATTGTTACGAAATCCAAATTGATTGCGCCAGGCTTCTCTTCGAGCCCAAGGATCATTCGGAGTAGTCATAATTTTTTTTTAACTAAAAATAATGTAACACAATTTGATTAAAAAATCGCTTGTGCTGCCTTTGAAATTAGATATATATATACCGATGTTTTTACCATCATTCTTTTATTATAGAATCATTTATATAATAAGTCAAGAGGTTAATAATTTACTTGGTGTTTCAAATAAATTGTATAGACAAGATGATACTTCAATTAATTAGATGAATCCAAAAAATTCATTATTATAAAAATAATTAATGTTTATATCACCAAAAGATACCAGGGCTGGGAATAGTAATATATAGTACTTTAAAAATCCGAATTTTCCTTTAAAAATTTTTAACTTCTGGAAAAAAAAAGTTGCTGGATATTTTAAAGAAATTTTATTACAGATAAAGCTCCGAATGAGCCGAGCCAAGAAACAATAAGCTTGAGCTTGACGTTACATAAAATTTTTTTAAGTAACGAATGATTAATTCTGATACTTTTTATTTTATTTGTGCACATTACCTAAAGAACAATTTAAATGCCTATTTCCTTGAACTTAGCTTGAACTTGAAATTCAGGTTTTAACTCGAGTCTGCTCAATTCTGAGAATAAAACAAATGATTCAAATGATTCAAATAACGAATAAAACAAATGATACAAATGATTCGAATGATTCAAATAAACAAATAAAACGGATAAAACCAATGATTCAAATGATTCAAATAAACGAATAAAACGGATAAAACTAATGATTCGAATGATTCGAATAACGAATAAAACAAATGATTCAAATGATTCGAATAACAAATAAAATGAATGATTCGAATAAAACGAATGGTCTAGAAAATCTTTAGCATTAGGAGAAATTTCCTTTTTTTTCAGATCTTATTTCCAGCCCTGATGCGGAGTATGATTAAATATGTGACATGCATATGATTTGAAAAAAAAAAACATGCAATGTCCCATACATGATTTCAATTCAAAAAAAATTTGGCTTCATTTTGTTAAACCGGGTAGAATTGATAATTCTAATTTCATTTTGTAATTAAGGCTCCGAACGATTCGATTCGATTCGACTCGACTCGAATCACTCTAAATTCGATTAGTGACTCGATTCAAACCGGATTTCCTAAATTTTTCGATGCCATATTAAATACAGTGAATAACGATGTAGTGTACCTCAATTTAATGGATACTACTGATTGAAGTTTAATAATAATAATAATAATAATAATAATAATAATAATTTCTTCTCAATTTAACGGATAGACGGGACACATAAGAAAATTTTTATATGTTTTTATATGTATAAAAATCCGTTATGATAAGAATTTAATTATTATTATAGTCTGTAGTGACAAAGTTTGGATATAATAATAACGGATTTTTGGAAAAAAATTTCTAATTGCCCAAACTATTG